CTCTTCCTCCTCCTTCCCTCCCTCTTCTTCCCCCTGGCAGCCTGAGGAGGGCAGGAGGATGCTGGAGGTCCAACCCCAGGAGAGGAGGGCGCCTCCAGAGCCCAGCGAGCAGACGCCTCCCCCTGTAGGCGGAGGAGCAGGAACTGTGACCTTCCCGATAGCGCCGACCCCCAGCCAGCCCGCAGAGCAGACGGTGGGCCTGGTGTACAACCAGGACACGGCACAGTGGGAGAGGGTGTACCGGCAGGCCGCTGCTGGTAGAACGGCAGAGCCACCGGAGGCCTTAAGCCAAGAAATGCCTGTTGACCCCCCAGACGAGGACTCCCTGAGGAGGTACGATGTGTTTAATACCAGCAGACTCCGTAGAAGCTCTGGGGAAGGTTTTGTCTCCGTTTCACAGCCTGTTCGTGGCTGATAGGTTGTTCTACTTTTAGCTGCAGGGTGAGTTCAGTTATTATCGTCTGTCCTGTTTCTGTCATACAGGCGACTGTTGGAATCATCTCTGTTATCGTTGTCTCGCTACGACATGTCCGGATCAAGAGACCATCCCATTTACCCCGATCCGGCCAGGTACAGTACTGTACAGCGGTGGCCCCAACCTTTTCCTTCAGGGAGCCTTTTCTATCATTAATAAACTGACACAGTCACATATTTTATAGATATTTTTATTATATTCAAACTGTACAAACCAAACAGTGAACTCAGTAACTGCAGGAGGTTTGTGTAAAACCAGTGATGGATGAATTCTGAGCAGATTATTTCTCGTTTAGGGAACTTTTTATACATTTCTCTGTCTGTATTCTGTATTTTAATTATTACAGATTAGCTTCTTTTTGACAGATTCACTGTTTTCTTGTCCCTGACGCTCTATTAGACAATTCATTAGTTCTCTACAGAAGTGAACCTAATGCTGATATATAGGCCCACGTGTATATTTTTAAAGTTTGGAGACACCTGGAAATTGATCCTGTAAAATGTTGATTGTATTTTATCCCCTCACTGAGATTAGATAAACACTGGAGTGCTAGTAGGATAAACTCCTGTTAACTCAACTACAGTACTCCTGCTCGCTGTAGGTGATGAAGGCTTGTGCCTTGTCATTTTGTGAACTGCACAGTCAGCAGTTGCAGTCGTTGGAAAGGCCGACTCTTTTAAAACTTAATACGACCTTGTACTTATTTAGTTTAACAGTTGGGCTGGAGGACTTCTCTTTGAAATGACTGCCTGCTGCATGCGCTCTGTAATACACATACTTCTCATTACAGTGGATGAAAGAGGAAGTTCCTGTGCCAGGGCAGAAAGCCAGGGGTCATTGAGTTTGTAGACACTCTGTTCCCGTAGAAAGATTAGATTGGACACAAAGAACAACAAGACTAATGGGGCTGAGGATGTTGAAACCGTACATTATCCACACAGAGCTGTTTCTACTGTCTGCCCCAGTCTCACCTTCAGTTTGTGGTTGAAATAACGAGGCTGAACTCGTCCTCTGTGCTGTCCAGGCTTTCTCCAGCCGCGTACTACGCCCAGAGGATGATCCAGTATCTGTCGAGGCGGGACAGCATCCGCCAGCGCTCGCTCCGCTACCAGCAGAACCGAATGCGGGCCATGTCGTCTTCGTCCGACAGCCCCGCCAGCAACCCGACCAGCTCCATGGACAACAGCGACGTGGACTTTGAGGAGCTGGAGTAAGTTTTCTCTTTTTTCTGTGGACTCTGTACTCCTGTTTCTCCTTTAATGTTAGTAAGGATGTTCAATCGGAGTTAAAACCAACCTAATGTTGACTGAAATGATAAATAAATCTAAAATAAGCTGTAGCTACTAAATCTGACAAACCCTATTGTTCACAAGCTACTTACTCCAAGTGCATAAGCCTAAATTATTGATCTGGTATTGTTAAGTCTGTGCTGGCTAAACAACAAACTGTAGATTAGTTTTTCTTACATTTTCATCACAACCAGTGTTTTTATCTTTGGAGGGAGAACAGCGTCTCTTCCTAATATATAACCAACACTCTGTATTAAAGCAGTGCTTGTAGTTTCTTCTTCGATGTAGCTTTACCATTTTCTTTTTCCAGTGATAATGGAGACAGAGCGAGACACAGGACGCCACGTAACGCCAGGATGTCTGCACCCTCACTGGGCCGCTTCGTCCCACGGTGAGTCAGCTGTAACTCTTCTTCTTTCATCAGAAATGATCCTTAAAATGAATGAATAATGCCTAATTTTAAATCTTTTCTCTTTGGTGTTCTCCTCCAGGCGGTTCCTCCTCCCTGAGTACCTGCCTTATGCTGGGATCTTCCATGAACGAGGGCAGCCCGGCCTGGCCACACACTCCTCTGTCAACAGAGTGCTCGCTGGTAAACACACACACACACACACACTTTACACTGCTACCAAAAACACAATTTTAGGTTTCACCAGCAGCTACGAGCCAGATGCTGATAGGCTTCGGTGCACGTGGTTTCTCTGTATGAACACCCACAGTGTTTGACTCACAGCGTTTCCTGTTTCTCAGGTGCATCCATCGGGGACGGTCAGTCTGCAGTCGCCAGTAACATCGCTAACACCACCTATCGTCTGCAGTGGTGGGACTTCACCAAATTTGACCTGCCTGAGATCAGCAACGGTACAACCTCACCGCACTCTCCACGTTACCCTGCAGTCACTGGTCTGCGTACTGATGAGTGTGTCTGTTTGTGTCTCCTGTCCAGCATCGGTTAACGTTCTGGTGCCAAACTGTAAGATCTACAACGATGCCAGTTGTGACATCTCTGCAGACGGTCAGCTGCTGGCAGTCTTCATTCCCAGCAGTCAGCGGGGTTTCCCAGATGAGGGCATCCTGGCCATCTACTCCCTGGCTCCCCACAACCTGGGAGAGATGCTCTACACCAAGAGATTCGGTACAGTGTCCCTCTGAAGTTCAGCATCCATCAACTAACACCTCAGTTACACTACACAGCGTTAAAGGTCGTCAGAACGTGGTTGATAATGATACTGATCAGCCAGCGTCAGTAATCAATACCCACATTAATAAAGCATTAATCAAACTAAACAACCTGATCAGCCTTTATCAGTTAGCTAGTGTTTCTGTAGTGGAGACTAAACGTTAACAATGATCCATATCAGCAGTTTGAATCCAACTAAAAGCTCCCTGCACCAAACTCCCTTTAAGAAAT